GCCAACTTGCTAAAACAAAAACAAAAAAATAGTAGCTCATAAAGCATGTGAAATGGCATATCTGCCAAACTCAGAGGATTTTACTACCCATATTGTTCAGTGGGGAGTGTTCCTTGATCCTGGTGAAGGTCTCTCTGTTCAAGGAATTGGAGCTACCTTCCCCTTTCTCAGATCAAGTTTGAATATACAGGAGGCCCTCCACATTCATGAGGGTTAAGGGATCAAGAACCTCACGAATCTTGAAAATTTATGAATGTTTTGATGTGCAAATATATTGTAGGGATATATAATAAAAGCATTTACTTAGCCTAACAATACTGCTTCCTTAACCTATTGAACCTAGTAACATTCATAAAACACATGAAAATATAAAACACATGAAAACCGGGTGGCTGGGCATTTGCGAATGTTCAAAGCTTGTGAAAGTGGAACTCACGAAAGTGGAGGGCTAGCTGTATATACCTTCCAGTCCCTAGGTACTGTATGACCCCTATAGCACTTCCCAACATACGTAATAATTCACTGCCTATATAAATTCAGTCAGACATGTAAATAACTATATGGGAATGCCTGAAGTTCCTTGTAACACAAATAAGAAAGCTGTATTATAATTTTCAACTCTAAATTTATGGAGGGACTGGTTTCAAGTATACAAACTGAAATTATTTCCTGTGAGAGCAACAGACTTGGTAGAGGGTGTAAAGTACCCTAGTGAATGCTGGAGTGCAAAGAATACACTAAGATATATTAGCATAATGGGCCTAAGTTTTTATATACCTGCATAAAGGGAATTACCAACAGGCCCCTGGCCATCTTGAGGAGAATATTATAATCTACTCAGATAAGAAACGTTGGAAAGGAAAATAACTATGCCATATATAAACTAAATAATGTAGATCTTAATACAGTAAAACCTCGGTTTTTGTATGCGAAGTTTCATACGATTCAGTTTTTGACAACTTTTTTCAACAAAATTTATTCCCAGTTTTGTAATCCGCTCGGTTTTGTAAAAGTTGAAAATGGTCATACAACTGTCCATATGCCACATGACTCGGCCCATTCCCAGAATTGAGCACCCCACAAAGTCTATGCATCGTGACCTGTAGCTTTGTTTCGTTGACGGCATCACCCGTGCATTTATCTGAACATTTCATGTAATCCCTGTTTTTGTGCTTGTTTATGGAGGGATGCTAAATAAGCCACCATAGGGCCAAAAAGTCAGAGTGCCAGCCTTTTATAAGAGTGAGAACATGAAGAATTCAAGAAAGAACTCTTAGCAAAGTACTTAAGCGGCTTATGCATGGCCAATCTTGCCAGGATGTACAGGAAGTCTGCATCAACAATCAGTTTCATCCTGGCGAAGAAAAAAGAAATCAAGGAAGCTGATGTTGCGAAAGGGGTAAATGAGCTAACGAAACAGAGATCGTAAACAATCAAAGATGTTGAGAAGTTGTTGTTGGTGTGGATCAACGAAAAACAGTTAGCGGGAGATAGTGTTTTGGAGGCGATAATTTGCAAAAAGGCAAGGCAGTTGCATGCTGATCTCGCAAAGAAAATGCCTGGAACAAGTGCTGCTGTCCTTGGAGGCAAAGAGGGGAATGTATGAGAGTATAGTTTTACCAACGCTCTTATATGGGTGTGAAGCGTGGGTGATGAATGTTGCAGCGAGGAGAAGGCTGGAGGCAGTGGAGATGTCATGTCTGAGGGCAATGTGTGGTGTGAATATAATGCAGAGAATTCGTAGTTTGGAAGTTAGGAGGAGGTGCGGGATTACCAAAACTGTTGTCCAGAGGGCTTAGGAAGGGTTGTTGAGGTGGTTCGGACATGTAGAGAGAATGGAGCGAAACAGAATGACTTCAAGAGTGTATCAGTCTGTAGTGGAAGGAAGGCGGGGTAGGGGTCGGCCTAGGAAGGTTGGAGGGAGGGGGGTAAAGGAGGTTTTGGTGTCGAGGGGCTTGGACTTCCAGCAGGCATGCGTGAGCGTGTTTGATAGGAGTGAATGGAGACAAATGGTTTTTAATACTTGACGTGCTTTTGGAGTTGTGAGCAAAGTAACATTTATGAAGGATTCAGGGAAACCGGCAGGCCGGACTTGAGTCCTGGAGAGGGAAGTACAGTGCCTGCACTCTGAAGGAGGGGTGTTAATGTTGCAGTTTAAAAACTGTAGTGTAAAGCACCCTTCTGGCAAGACAGTGATGGAGTGAATGATGGTGAAAGTTTTTCTTTTTCGGGCCACCCTGCCTTGGTGGGAATCGGCCGGTATGATAATAAAAAAAATAAGTGCTGCTGTTAGTGAATTTAAGGCCAGCAGAAGCTGGTTCGACAAATTCAAGAAGCGAACTGGCATGCACAGTGTGGTAAGGCATGGCGAGGCTGCATGTTTGGACAAATGTGGGGTCGAAGAATTCGTTGATTCCCCTCCTTGCCATTTTCCATACGCCAACAAGAGTCTTCAATAAAGGTAAAAGTGATGTTAAATGTCCATTTATCCATTTCATTAGCCATTTATATTTCTCATTGTTTTCTGTATGTAAAACTATAGTTATTCTCCATAAAATGTATATTTTGTTAATATTTTTCAGCGTCTGGAACGAATTAATTGGATTTACATTATTTATTATAGGAAATATTGCTTCAGTTTTCGTACGATTCAGTTTTCGTACGATTCAGTTTTCGTACAATTCAGTTTTCGTACGATTCAGTTTTCATACGATTCGGTTTTCTTCAGATTTTTCGAACAGATTAACCATGAAAATCGATGTTCCACTATACTGCTAATTGCAAAAGAAATTTAGGAGTTCTGGTTATCAGTAATTTAACCCTTTCAGGGTTTCGGCCGTACTAGTACGGCTTACGCCCCAGGGTTTTTGATGTACTAGTATGCCTAAATTCTAGCGCCCTCAAATATAGTGAGAGAAAGCTGGTAGGCCTACATATGAAAGAATGGGTCTATGTGGTCAGTGTGTGCAGTATAAAAAAAATCCTGCAGCACACAGTGCATAATGAGAAAAAAAAAACCTGAATGTGTTTTGGATTAAAACAGCGACTTGGCACTGTATTTTCGTATGGCATTTATTGTTGTATTCTAGTTTTCCTGGTCTCATTTTATAGAATGGAAGACATATTACAGAAATTGAGATGATTTTGACTGGTTTTACAATGAAAAGTATCTTGAAATTGAGCTCAAATTAGCAGAAATGTTCGATTTTTACCAAAGTTCAAAAGTAAACAATCATGCTAAGCGTCCAATACACGTCAACTGGTGAGTCTAATATTCTTTCACAAGTGCGCTGATATTATTTATACCATTTCTACACTAATGCAGTAGTCTGCACAACAGTATATCTTCTGTTTTTTGTAAGAATAAAAATTCAAAGTGGAAAGCCAAAGAAATAGTATAAGAGGGGCCTGGGGATGTGACTAACAAACAGAGAACTTGTTACTTTAGTGCCACGAATGTCTTTCTTGTTTATTCTGGACCCTATTTGGAAATTGGCATCTTGAAATTTGTGTGAAATTGGCAAAATTGCTAAATTCTAACCACTTTATTGGATAGTTGAAATCGGTAAATGGATGGTTTCTTGTACTCATTCGATAGAAAAAATGGAGTTCTAGTGAAATAGTTATGGTTTTTGTTGACTAGTACACTGGAATTGGCCGAAAATAGGGCTCAAAGTGGGCAAAATCGCCGATGCGTAAACATCGTCGAGACCGCTAACTTCGCGAGAGCGTAATTCCATAAGTTTTCCATCAAATTTTATACTTTTGGTGTCATTATGATTGGGAAAAGATTCTCTATCTTTTTATAAGAAAAATTTTTTTTTTTTTTTTTTAAATTTGGGGAGCCTGAGAACAAGTCTCAGAGAGGGCCTGGGGACCCTGAGAACAAGTCTCAGAGAGGGCCTGGGGACCCTGAGAACAAGTCTCAGAGAGGGCCTGGGGACCCTGAAAGGGTTAAAGCCAACTCAACAGTGAATAAGTGTTTACTATAAAGTGAATATAATTCTTGGCTTCATATCAAGAAGTATAAATAGCAGCAGTCCTCAGAATATTCTTCAACTCTATATATCATTGGCTAGGCCTTGTTTAGATTATATTGCACAGTTCTGGTCACCATATTACAGAATGGATATAAATGCACTGGAAAACGTACAAAGGAGTATGACAAAGTTGATCCCATGTATCAGAAATGTTTCCTCTGGAGATAGACTGAGGGCCCAAAATCTGCATCTCTAGAAAGGCTTAAAATTAGGGGGAGATGACTGAGGTATATAAATGGAAAACAGGAATATATGTAGGGGATGTAACTATCATGCTAAAAGTATCTAACCAAGAAAGGACTTGCAGCAATGGTTTCAAGCTGGAAAAATTTAGGTTCAGAAAGATACAGGAAAGCACTAGTTTAGTAATAGAGTTGTGGATGAGTGAAACAAACTCCCGAGTACCTTTATTGAAGCTTAAACCTTGTGTAGTTTTAAAAGTATGTTATAAATACATTTGTGGATGTGGGTGGATGTGACTGGGACCTGACTTGCTTCAGCCAGTAGATCTGGCCAGTAGGTGACTTGGACCTGCCTATCCTGGGCCATTATGCCTTCTGCAGTGTTCCTTCTTTCTTATTTTCCTGATCAGCTGTGCTGTGGTGTGTATGTCAGATGGTTCTGGTAAACCAGCAGTATGATTGATCAAATTGTAAACAGGAGGTTTGTTTTGGGCCGGGCAACTGGGGTGATGTCCCTGGAAACACCCTGAATGCCCTCCTTGCATATCCTCCCTCCTTAGATTTTTATATTTTCATTTTAAAATTTTTAGTGTAAAGTATATTATAAAGGGTTTGATAGGTATTAAAATTTTGGATTCCAGTATTTTATTTAATATTTTTCCCCTTTGCGTTATTTTTTCCCATTGAAATGAATGAAAGTAAAGGGTTGGTTTCGATTACAGTATTAAAATAACACTTCTTTTTTGTTTTTCGGGTTTCAATGCCCCAGTTGATGCAGGGCCGATCTGTTGTCCCGAGAACCTTGTTGAAAACCAGTTTCCCCTTTTGCCCCCGCTCCAAGTATCTTCACGGAGACCTCACAAACTTTTGCCGAATATTTCGTGGGGGCCCCCCCTCCTTTTCTTACCCCTTTCTTTTTTTGTACTGCTGAGGTATTTAATTGAAATTTAAATTCATAAAAAAAATTAACTTTTAAAAAGGATTTTTTTAAATTTTTGGGCGGGAAAATTTGTTTTGGGAGGCCTTTGCTTTCCATTTTTAAAACCCTTTCACTGTCAAGACCCTAAAAAGAAAACTTGCTTTCGTGTCCAAAAATTTTTCCCCAAATTTTTTAAAAAATGGTAGGGGAATCTTTTTCAAAGGGAAATGAAAACCAAAATTACGAAATCTGAGGGAAAAAATTTAGGGAATTATACAGGTGCAAAGTTAGCGGTTTGGCGCAATTTATCACCGGAAATTTTTACCATTTTTGAGTCTGATTTTTAAGCCAATTCCATTTTTTTCAGTTTTAAAAAAATTTCCCCTTTGTTTCAGTTTTAACCCAATTTTCCTTTGGGTTTCAGTTTTAACCCAAATTTCCCATTGTTCTTTTATTTTCCCCAGAAAGCCTTCCTTTCCCTGTCAATTGGCAAAAAAAAATGCCCATTAAAATATTTTAAATACCCAAAAAAGTGATTGGGAATTTGAAAATTTTGGGCCCCAATTTCATACAAAAAAAAAAAATTCCAATTTTAAAAAAAATTAGTTCATAAACAATGTAGACTTTCCCCTTGCAGTAAAGAAAAGTTTCCTCTATTCTTTTTGTCATGTCCCCAAGGCTTCTCCGTTTTAAAATTTGTTTTCCATTTTAAATTTCCCTTGTTCACAAAAAAAACAGAAGATTTCCTTATTTCTCAGATAAAAAAAACTTAACTAGGTTGTGGTCATGGTTTACAGAAACCCAGTAATTGAATAGCCCAAAAATTAAAAAACCCCAAAAATAGACGGGGGTTGTAAAGGGGCCCCAAACCTGCCCTTTTGGGAAAATCGAAAAAAAATCAAAATTTTTTCTGTTAGTTTGGCTAAAATTTCAAGCTACTTCCATTTTAGAAACCAATCAAATCATCCTATTTAGAAATTATATTTTCCCATTTCTATAAATAACCCTTTGAACAGTCAAAAAACCCCCTTTAAAAAAAATATGTAAAAAGACACTGAAAAAGGTAACTTTTTTTTAAACCATCCATGTCACAGTTTTTTTTTCCCTCATCATGCACCCCCGGTGGGGAGGGTTTGTTTTATATGAGCACACACCCGGACAGACCCTTTCTCTTATCTAGGCCAACATTTCCCACTCGCAGGTTATCTAGGTAGCGGATTTAAATTTGACATGAACTACAAAAGGGAAACCCTGACCTCAGTTACGTAGTTTACATGACAAAAGGGCAAAAGGGGTTTAAAAAGCATGTTTTTCCTACTCTAAAAAAACTTAAGATTTTACAAATTTTGCAAAAACCCCTCAGTAAAATTTGGGACTAATGGGAGGGATTGCCCTGGTGTCTGTTTAAATAAAATGTTAAAAATAGCAAAAAAAAAAAAAAATCCTTTTACTGTATATCTAAAAAAAGTACTTTTTCCCTCATTTAAAAATTATAATGAAACAAAATGAAAATAGGGGAGTTAAAAGTACAATTTTTTCCCAGTAATTTTTTCCAAAAAATTTTATGTCCATTATATTGAAAAGTTTAAAAAAAATAAATTTTTTTAATACACTACTCGCTTTTCCTTTTGCGGAAAAATTTTCTGGTATTGAAATAACAAAGGGATAATGGAGTGGATTTAATCCCAATTAAAAACCCAAGAAAAATTTTCCCTTTTTTCTTTGGGTGAAAAAATTTTTGGTTTATTTCCCCTCCTCTTTGATGGTTAATTGGGGTGGGTAAAGGGATGTGCATTTGCCCCCCATTGAGGGTTTCCCTTGGATTGTACACACAAAAAACCCCCACAACTGTTCAAATTTTGTCCTTACACTTGAGTTTTTTCCCCCTTTCTCGTTTTTGTCCCTAATATGGCATTTTCATGCTTTTATGTGTTTGTGAAAAACATTCGCTTCCTTTTGTATAGTTGCCCACTTAAGGAACTGTAAAAGCAACAGGACTTTAAGTACTTCTTAAACCCTTTTTTTCCCGTCCAGCCCCCTTTGGGAATTTTAAAGTTTTTCCAGTGTCCACATTATAAAAAAAAAATTTTAAAATTTGGTATAGACCTTTTCTGAAGGTAAAAAATTTTTTTAATGGATAACTTTCGGGAATTATGCAGGGAAAAGTAAGTAGCCTGCACACAGTTTAACTTTTGCAATTTTGCTAAATTTTAGTCCTACTTGAACCCAAATTCCTTTGCTCGGGGTTAAACCCAAATTCTTGGGTTTTTTTCACTTTTTAATGCTTTCGGGTCTATAAATTTGGGCACAAAAAACCACCTTTTCCCGTTATCAAAACTACCCTAAAAAAGTACACGACATCAAAAAATTTTTGACCAATTTATGTACAAAAAAAATTTTTTTTTTTTAAAAACAGAATTCAGAATTTTTTACGTAGACTTTTAAAGGACACTAAAAAATTTTTCCTTCTTCTTTAAAAAATCTTGCCCCGGGCCTCACACTTTATTTTCCCCTTTCCCTTTCCCCCATTTTTTAAATTCACCCACATAATTAAATCGGGACCAGTACAAACCCAAAAAACCCAGAAAAAAGGGGTTAGCAGGGGGCCTTCCCGGGCCTTTCAGGAATACAGCAAAAATCAAAAAATTTCTGTACATTAAGTCGATTTAAAAACTATATACTTGTGGTCCGGGAACTAATTTAAAACCTTCTTATATCAAATTTGGGTTTTCCCATTCTATCAGATGATGCAAAAAAAACACCCAAAAAAACCCAAAAACCATCCTAGAAGACCCCTGATTCATTTCTCTTTTTTCTCCCTTTCTTTTTTTCTTTCTCTTTTCTCTTTTTTTTCTTTTCTCTTTTTTTTTTTCTCTGTTTTTTTTCTCTCCCCCACCTCCCCCCTCTCACCTCCCCTTCTCTTCCCCCTGGCTACTGGCAGAGCCATAGCTGTGCCTGCCCAAATTTGCAACTATATAAGTTTTCTCCTCACTTCCCGATGGATTTCCCTGTTCCAAAAAAACCATGCCCTTAAAAAAATTAACTGCTAATTGGGGGCAATTTGATTTTTTTTTTTTTTTTTTTTATCACACGGGCCCCCCATTCCCACCAAGGCAGGGGGGCCCCGAAAAAGAAAAATTTTCCCCACCCTTGCTCCTTTCACTTTTTGCCAGAAGGGTGTTTTACATTAATTTTTTAAAACTGCAACTTTAACACCCCCCCTTTCCCAAGTGCAGGCACTGAACTACCCATCTCCGGGAACTCAAGCCCGGCCCTTTGCCGGTTTCCCTGAATCCCTTCATAAATTTTTATTTTTGCCCCCACCCCAAACAGCACGTCAAGTTTTAAAAACCTTTATGTCTCCATTCACTCCTATAAAACACGCTCAGGGCGCCTGGGGGAACCCAAACCCCCCCGCACAAAAAAAACCCCCTTTTCCCCCCCCTCCCCCCAAAACCCTTCCTAGGCCGACCCCTACCCCCCCCTTTCCCTTCCCCACTACAGATGTTTACACTTTTAAAAGTCATTCTTTTTCGCTCCATTCTTAACATCCCCCAAACCACCCAACAACCCTTTCCTCACCCCTTTGGGAAAAGTTTTGGAAAAACCCGCACCCCCTAAAAACCCCTTCCCAAAAACTACAAATTCCCTCTGCAAAAAATTCACACCACACATTGCCCCAACATGACTTTCCCCCTTTTTGCCCCCAAAGCCCTCCTCGCCTGCAACTTTCACCCACCCCGTTTCCCCCACCCAAAAAGAGCGTTGGAAAAACAAACTCTCTTTCTTTCCCCCTCTTTGCCCCAAAGGGCAAATTCTTTTTTCCCCCCCAAAGGGACTCCTAAGGCACCCCCCACTCTTTTTCCCCTTTAAATTCTAGATTCACCTATCTTTCATGGGACCCATCCGCGAAAACTTTCCACCCCCAAAAATATCTAAAATCGTTACCTCCTCCATACTCCTCCCCCCAAATTTTGAATTAAAATCTTTCATCACCAAATTTTTTTGTTATCCTCAAAACCTTACTTTTTCCCTTTTTTTTCATTTTAATTTTTTTTCCCCTTTTGCCCCCTACCAAATTCATCCCCCAATCTCTGAGTTTTCTCTTCAGAATCCCCCAAGAGCACAGTGTCATCAGCAAAGAGCGCGGTGCAACTTCCCACTTTGTTGTTCTTTATTTTTTTAAATCCAAAGCCCCTTGCCCAAAACCCTCGCATTTACTTCCTTACAACCCCCTCTATAAATAATTTTAAAAAACCACCCCGGGAAAAATCCCAATCCTTGTCTAAGGCCCCACTTTTACGGAAAAAAATTTCCCCCTTTCCACAAACTCCCAACTTGAGCCTCACTATCCCCGTTAAAAAAATCTTCACGTTTCAGTAAACCCACCTCCTTTCACCCCTACACTTGCAAAAATTGCCCCATTGCCCCCCTATCCACCCTGTCTCCCCCTTTTCCCAAAACCATAAATGCCACAAAGACCCCCTTTTGCCCCTTTTTAAATACTGTTCACCCTTTTTGTTTTTACGTAAACACCCCGTCCCACACCCCCCACCTTTCCCAAAAGCCCCTTGTTCATTTTGCTATTTTTATTTTTTCCGTCTTACTCTTAAAATTTTTCAATTTTAACTCTAACCATTTTCACTTTACCAAAGGGGAAAATCAACAGATTTTAAAAACCCTTTTAAAAATTTTTTCACTCTCTTTTAAAAACCCCTTTTTCCCTTTTTCAAAGGAAATATGCATGCTCTCTGCCAATCCCTAGGACCCTTTCCCTCTTCCCCTACATTTATTAAATAATTGCCCCCAAACCCCTCCAAAAACTATATCCCCACCCTGGGTTTTAAAATTCTATCTTTTTTCCCCTAATTCCCGGCCGCCTTTCCCCCCCCCTTTTATTTTCCCCACCCGCCCCACGAACTTCCCCCCACACTCCCAACGGCTCTTCCTCCTTCCCAAAATGATGTTATTCCCCTTGCCCTATACAGAAAAACACAGCTTCCCTATCTTCATCAACATTTTTAAAATTCCTCAAAAAAAATTTTCCCCCTCTTCCCAAAAAATACCCTCCCCAACTCTCCATTTAATAACTCTCCCTCCTATTTTTAACTGACAAAAACCATTTTGTTCTCTAGGGTTTTTTTAACCTTTTAATCCACTCCAAAACTTTTTTTTATTTTCAAAAAAAATTTTTGGGTTATAAATCTCACCCACTTTCATTTGCTCTCTTTTTACATTTTTCACCACCTCTTAACCTCCTCTTTTTTTTCCTATACTCTTCCCTCCTTGCATTTACTTCTACTTTGTAAAAAATTCTCCTATGCTAACTTTTCTCCCATACTCTCTTTTTCATCTTTTTCCACCAAAAACCCTCCTCTTCCCTCCTTTCCCCCTTTCCCGTAACCAAAAAACCTTTTTGCTGAACACTCTAACACTTACATTTTTAAAACCTACCCCCTACCTCTTCGACCCCATTTGCCCCCCATGCTCTCATTTGCCCATCTATCCCCCAATAAGCTTTTATATCTTACCCTAACTGCCCCCCTGTTTTAGTTTAAAAAAACCTTCAAACTCTCTCTTCCCTGATGCTTCTATTCTCCTTTTTAAACCCTCTACCTTTTTTCTCTCAATGGGAGTACAACTAGAAAGTGTCTGGGAAAATCTGTGGGCCCCCCTATAAACATTTTAAAATCCTTAAGTCTACTCAACAGTCCTTTTTTTTTACCCAAAAATAATCCAAAAAAAACTACGTCAATTTTGCCCCAATATAAACGTGTATACTTTTTTTATCCCCTTTTTCTTAAAATATGATTTTCCTATAACCCAAACCCCTTTCTATACAAAGTTCAATCAAAGGGCCCCATTTTTTATTTACACCCTTTGGGAACCCCCAAAATTACCTACCACACCCTCTCTAAAAAATTTCCCTACTTTAAACATTTAGGTCCCCCCACCACATTCACTTTTTATCTCCCCAAAAACTCTCTCCTTTCCCCGCATTCCTCCTTCTTTCCCGGTGCTACAAAGCTTTTTAAAAGACCCACTTTTCGCATCCAAACCCCTTTACTTTTTAAACAAAATTTTTTTCTTTGGGAAAAAACAATCCATATTCTCTTTTCCTTTCCCTTTCCCTTAAAATGATCATTAAAATTTACTGCTTTCCCCTTCCTTTGCTCTAAATCTTCGATACTCCAGATTTAACCCCCTTTAAATTTTCCCCCCACTGAAATTTTCCCCCCCCTTATTTGTTTTGTTAGAGAAGAAACCAACTTTTTTTCATTCATAACATCAGCCCAAACATCTGTTTCTTGTCATCCGCACTACATCCACGAATTTAAAATTAAGCATCCCAATTTTATAAAGTTTTTTTTTCTTCCCCTTTTTATAAAAGGTTTTCAGGAAAGGGGTTTTTTAAACCCATTGCTCCCGGCAATTTTTGTCGCCCTACGACACGGGATGGTTACGGGGGGGAAAGATTCTTTTCAATTCCCCCCTTGGGCAATAGAAGAAATAAAAAAGAACAAGAGCAAATTTTGAAAAAAGGGGGAAAAAAACCTTTGATGTATGTTTAATTTATTTGCATGTGCGTTTTCTGTGAAGTGTGACCAAAGTGTTTAAATAGGAGTAGCAAGTTTTTCCCTTGTTATCTAGCGTGTTTATGAGGGCAGAAAAAAAAAACCAGCAATCCTACCCTCATGCAAAACAGTTACAGGTTTTTTTTTTTCACAGTCATCTGGGAGGAAGGGGGTAAACTTTCCCCCCGGGGGGTTGCTGTCTACAACCTAATTCACCCCTTTTCACCATTTTTAAAAATTTTTTGGTATTTTTCAAAAGTTTATACATTATGACGTAATTGAAATAAAAAGAAAAAAGGAAATCAGTTTAATTTTACACTGTTTTGGTTTTTAAAAACTTTTACTGGTCAGAGAACCCTTTTTTTAAATCGAGGTGTTGGTAAAAATACGTTGGTAAGTAAGGGGAGGCTGTATAGTCAAGTACAAAACTGTTTTTTTCTTTTTTTCTAGTAAATGCTTTGGGTTTCTGCATTGTTGGCTATTTAAGTTATGAATAAGGGTACAATCCACTGTTTAAAAAGTTAGGGGATTATCTTGTGCATTGCTCTTCTTTTATTTAGGGGGGGAAAGCAATTTTCCTATTGGTAGGTGGGAGAAAGATATATGCCAAAAATTTTTTCCATTGTTATAGGTTGGGTATTTGTGTCCCATGCAGTGCCATGGGGAATATAGGACCTTTTCTCCTGTTCCCCGGTCATCTCCCCTCATTTATGATCCTTTCGGGCGTTTGGAACCTTTTGGGGGTTCATCTCGAAAATGTTTCTTTTATGCTGGGTATGTATGCTTTTTAAAATTTTGTGTGATCATTGCCCTAAAAATTAATGAGTATAGTTTATAATGATTTTTTGCTTATGTACTTTTATTTTTTAAATTTGAAACCAAAACCCTTTAAATTTTAAATTTTTTTAAAGTCTTTTTTTTTTTTAAATTTTTTTTAAAAGTCAAATTAAAAGGAATTTTGAAACAGTAGCCCGATTGAACATGTTTATTAGACAGTTTCACTTTATAGCTTTATCGGGTAGTGCCTTGTGGGGAAAAAGGGTTTAGAAAGGGGAAACAAACCAGAGAAAGGTTTCCCGAATTTCAGGAGTGCCAGGAGGCAGTTTGAGAAAGTTATACCCCGAAAGGGAAAAAAAAAAAGAACCCAAGTTTTACCACCAATGTAAAAAGGGCAAATTTTTGAATTTGAAATTACTACGAAGGGTGTTAAAAAACAGAAAAAGGAAAAATCATGAAAAGATGATGTGGCAAAAGGGGGAAAAACAAAGCTAAAAAATTCTGCTACCCGTTTCATCTCCTACTTTTGGGCCCCCAAAAATTTTCCTGAAAATTGCCCCATTACCCAAGTGTTAAGAAACCCGAACCTGTTTTTTTTTTTTTTTTAGGTGCCCATTTTTACGGCCCCAAAAATATTGTAAGTCAAGTTCATTTTTTTTAACAAAATTTTAAAAATTTAAAGTTAATAAACCCAAATCCGAGGGGAAAAAAATGGGAAAAGGAAAATTTTTGCCCGCTGGCCTTGCGTTTTCATAAGAGCAAGGGGTTTGTACCCCTTCTCCTGGGATTATTATTTAAAAAATTTAAAAGAGGAAAATTGTTTTTCTTGTTGGGGCCAAACCCGCCATTGGGGGATACGGCCATTTGTTTAAAGAGAGAGAGAAGTGGAAAAAACCCCGATTTAGTTCCTCTCTTTCTCCCCCTTCCTATTTTTTTCTTTTCTTATTCCTATACCTCCCCCACCATTCCTTCCCTCCCAATCCCCCCTCACAAACACATCTGACACACTACTACACATCAGCAGCAGTAGGACTCCCTCTCTCACTCCCACTCTTGCATCCCCATCTGGCCCCAACACTGAACAGGTTTTGGTAATAGGGGCTGCCCCCCCTACTCCCACCTCACATAGCATATGACAAAAACCCCTGAATGGGCATCAGTAAAAGGGAAATACCTCCCTCCCTCCCCCCTCAATTTAACACATGTTGCACAGTATGACCTTTACAGGTTTAATTCTTAACCCTTTGACTGCCTGTCACTTAGAATTACATCATTGATACCAAGGTCTGTCGCATAGATCGACATCATGGGCTCAACTCAGTCACACAAACTGCGAGTGGTAAATTTTTGCCTAGGTATGAGAAAAAGGGTCTGTGGAGTGAACATGCACAGTATAAAAAAAAAAAATCCTGATTCATGAAGTGCATGATGGGAAGAGCAAAACTGAAATGTGTTTGGTTTAAAACAGTGAATTTAAGGTGTTTTCTAGGATGGTTTTATTGGCTATTTCTTGGTATTATTTGATAGAATGGAAGACATACTACTGATTTAGAGATGCTTTTAGTTGGTTCCAAAACCAAAACTAGCTTGAAATTGGCCTCTAAATAATGGACGTATTCTATTTTTGCCGATAAGGTAAGGGCTCCCCTACACACCCGTCTGTTTTATGGGTTTTTACTAGATGTGATTCAGTAATTGTGTAAGCCATGACAATTCGTTCCTGGTTATATTTTATTATCTGAAAAATAGGGTAAATCTTTGATATTTTGTTTGATGAATTCAAAATAAAAGGCAAGTGCCATATAAGAAAGGCTTGCGGATGTGATTATTGCACAGAGGATATAATGTTTAAGTGCTTGGAATATCTGTAGTTTTTATTTTGTACTTTGTGTTCAAATTTCAATAGTATATCTTTCATTCTCCTAGGTAGTAGGTTGGTAGACAGCAACCGCCCAGGGAGGTACTACCGTCCTTCCAAGTGAGTGTAAAACAAAAGCCTGTAATTGTTTTACATGATGGTAGGATTGCTGGTGTCCATATTTCTGTCTCATAAACATGCAAGATTTCAGGTATGTCTTGTTACTTTTACTTATGCTTATGTCACACTACACATGCATGTACAGGTCCTCCATCACAGATCCGGCATCATTGGGACCTGTAGTGTGCCGGATTACTGAGTTTGCCGGATTACAGAGTGGTTAGGTTAGAATACACTTAATAAAATTAACCAACTTGACTTACACAAAGTTCATTGAACACTGGCAAAAATCAAACATTTCTGCTACTTTGAGCTCAATTTCAAGGTATTTTTCATCATGAAACAAATCAAAATCATATCTGTTTCTGTAATATATCTTCCATTCTGTCAAATAAGACCAAAAAAACAAAATACAACCATAAAAACCATACGAAAATATACCGCAAAGAGACTGCTAACGGCTGAGAAGAGAACTCCCTTATTTATTGTCCTTTTTTTTTTTGTGTGTGTGTGTGCGTTAAGAAGCATCTTTCCATCATACACTGCCCAAGTTTCAATGAGATAGCCCAACAAGCAACTTAGAAAAAAAAATTTACCAAAAATCATATATGAAATAAGTCACTGACTTTTTTGGGTTATCCTAGGTTCTCTCTATGTATGCTGCTATGTATGATAATCTATGTAACTGTATTTGTGTGTACCTGAATAAATGTACTTATTTACTTCTAGTCTGTCAACTGAGTACAAGAAACCACCCATTCACCTATTTCAACTACCCAATAAAGTGGTCAGAAATTGGCAATTTGGTCAATTTCACACAAATTTCAACAGATGCCAATTTCAAAATAGGGTCCAGCATTACCAATGCAGAGATTCCTGGTACTAAAATAGCATTTTCTCTGTTCATTAGTCACAGCTCCTGGCCCCTCTTGCTTACCATTTGGAATATTTATTCACGCAAAAAATAGAAGATTTACTGTTATGCAGACTACTGCATTATTGTAATAATTGTATAAATAATATCAACCCATTCTTGACTGTGTATTAGAATTTGGACTGGCAGCGCACACATATTAGACAGTGATGTCATTTGTTTACTCTTGAACATTGCTAAAGAATGGAACATTTCCGCTACTGTGGGCGCAATTCAAGGTACTTTTCGTCATAAAAGCAATCAAAATCATATCTATTTCTGTAATATATCCTCCATTCTATCAAATGAGACCAAAAAAAAAAAAGAGAATACAGTCATAAAAACTATACGAATATATACCGCTATGGGGCTGCTAATGGCTGAGAAGTGACTCCACTATTTATGGTCTGATTTCTTTCATTTTTGGTGTACATTAAGAAGCATATTTCCATCATACATTGCCCAAGTTTAAATAAGATAGCCAACAAACAACTGAGAGAAAATAATAATAATAATAATGGAAAGTACAGTGCCTGCACTTTACAGGAGGGGTTTGGGATACTGTATTGGCAGTTTGGAGGGATATGTTGTGTATCTTTATACGTATATACTTCTAAACTGTTGTATTCTGAGCACCTCTGCAAAAAATAGTGATTATATGTGAGTGAGGTGAAAGTGTTGAATGATGATGAAAGTATTTTCTTTTTGGGGATTTTCTTTCTTTTCGGGTCACCCTGCCTCGGTGGGAGACAGCCGACTTGTTGAAAAAAAAAATATCTTTATTTACTTCATGTACATGGTATATAAGCCTAGCTGACATTAGTGATGTACTACTATACAGAAAGCCCCTTGTTATGCTAAGCATTTCAGGCAAATTATGTCAGTGTCCCAGGATAACACCCACACCAGTCCACTAACACCTAGGTACCTATTTACTGATGGGTGAACATGGACAACAGGTGTAAAGAAACATGCCCAATGTTTCTACCCTGGGAATTGAATATTTACCAAAAATCATATATGGCTAACCCAAGATAGGTACTAGAAATAAGCCACTTTGACATTTTTGGGTTATCCTAGGTTCTCTACATATATGCTGCTGTGTGATAATCTATGTAGAGAAAATTGCGTCTTTGATTCAGTTTTATGGTGCAGTACGAGTGCATATCATAGTTAGTCCTGTGCTATACTCCATTTTCTCTTATATAAGCCCCAAGACAGGGATAGGAGAATGGTACTTGTATAAACCATACCATGGGTGGGGATAGAACCCGGGTTCTATCCCCGCCCATGGTATGGTTTATTTGCAAAGTGTCATTACGGTTTTGTGAGTCATGGTACTTGTATCCCATATCCTCTTCGTACCTCCATCAAGCTGCTCGACATTATGCCAAATATTATTTATTCTAGAGTATTTAACATATTTTTATGTTATTTGTATTGTTTATGTCATATTAGATCAATTGTGATAGGCAAATATGCCGTAGTGTTGATATTAGCATAATAATAAAGCATATTCCCCTGCATCACGAGGCTGAGCTCATGGCAGCAGACAGTGGCTCCAAAGCCACCTTATCTTTAATGGACAATGTACTGTGTAGGTGCTTTATACAACAAGAAGCATTTCTTTTATTCATTGGAACCATGGCTATGGCTAAAAGTAAGCAGGTTATAACAATAAATGGAGATAACGAAATTTGAATGACTTATGCAGCAAGTAGCACCACCAAACAGTACCAGCAGGTTGGTGTGGCAACCCTGGAAATTTGAAATTATGCTAGCCGAAATTAGTGCCGAATAACTGATGCAATCGGATGTCTGATTGACGGATTTGTGATGGTGGACCTATACAAGCAGAAGAAAATATATATGTATATATTTATGAAGGGATTCAGGGAAACCGGCAGGCCGGACTTGAGTCCAGGAGAAGGGAAGTACAGTGCCTGCACTCTGAAGGAGGAGTGTTAATGTTGCAGTTTAAAAACTGTAGTGTAAAGCACCCTTCTGGCAAGACAGTGATGGAGTGAATGATGGTGAAAGTTTTTCTTTTTCGGGCCACCCTGCCTTGGTGGGAATCGGCCAGCGTGTTAATAATAAAAAAACGTT